ATTGGGTGTTTTAGAGAGGCTATTTTTGGCTATTCTGATGCCATTTTAACCTGGCTTTTTCTGCTCAACATAATGTTTTTGAGATTCATTCATTTCATTGCTTATATTAGTGGCTCATTTTTATTGTGAGAATGTGATCTTAACTGGTTATTGCCAGTGTGAAATTTTATTTATTGAATTTACTAGATGTACTTATTACTTCTATTTTGGTCTGGTAGTTTTTCAGTTGAGTTTCTTTCTTCCACCATATTTGGTCACATAATCTATTAATAGTGTCATTTTGGTCTTCTTTCTTATGTTATTTTTACAACTTATTATTTTTTTTCTTGTTGTATTGGGTCAGATCTGTTTAACGTTTTATTATGAAATACATTGTTTGATGCAGAATTCAGCAAATATCTCTTGTGGGGTTAAGCAAGTTTTCTTCTATTTCTAGTTACCTTTTACTCAGAAATAGGTGTTGAATTTTATTGATGATTTTCTTCAGCAGTTATTGAGATGATCATGTGAATCTCCATGTTAAACTGTTAATCTCATAGACTAGCAATGAATTATCCATGTGATTCTGGGAAAAATTTACTTGGTCAAGATGTATTGTTCCCAAATATGCTGATTAATTTCATTTGCAAATATTTTAACTGGGATTCTTGCATTTATGTTCAAGTGAGGTAAACTATAGGTTTCTTTATTAAGATACTTTTCTTCATCTTTGACATTGTTATGTTACCCACATAAAATATATTGAGAAATTTCTTTGAGGTATTTTTATTGTAAAATATTTCAATTATAGAACAAGTACTCATCATTCAGATTTTTCAAAATTTAATATTTTGTCATATTCACTTCAGATTGTTTAAATAAGTAAAAAATTACAAGTAAAGTAGAGGCCCCGTTTGTACCTCTTTCCAATAATTCCCTCCCTCCTTCAATGTGAACAATATCCTGAATTTGGTGTTCATTATTATCATGTTTTTATACTTTAATCTAATATCGTTTTCCTTCCACTTGAAGAATTTCCTTTAACATTCTTGTAACGCAGGTTTGATGGCAATACATTTTTTTCACCTTTTGTTTGCTGAAAAAGTATTTTGTGTTTGATTTTGAAAGATATTTTTGCTGGATATAGAATTCTTTGTGGACAGTTATTTTCTTTTAGCACAGGTACAATAAACGTGTTGCTTCATTGTCTTCTGGCTTGCATAGTTCTGGCAAGAAGCCTGCAGTATTAGTTAGTGGTAATTATTCACCAGTAATTCTTTGTTTCTTTGTACTTAATGTTTCTCTGGATGCTTATAAGATTTTTTTTCTTTATTACTGGTTTTCATTACTTTGATTATAATGTACTTGGCACATTTTGTGTTTTCTGCTTGTAGTTCATGGAGCTTCTTGCATCAGGGTGTTTATAGTTGTCATGAAATTTGGAAAATTTTTGGCCATTTTTTTGTACAGAGATTGTCTGCTCCCTCCATACCCTGCTTTCTGGGACTCTAATTAAATATATGTTAGACTAAGTATTCGTTTTGTTTCAGTTTTTATTTCTCTCTGTGATTCATTTTGTATGGTTTCTATTGCTATGTCTTCAAGTTAACTGGTATTTTCTTCTACAATGTCTTCTTTGCTGTTAATGCCATTCAGTGAAATTTTTATTTCAGATAATGTATGTTTTATCTGAGGTTTAATCTTGTTCTTTTGCTTGGAACATATTCCTCTGTTTCTTCATTTTGCTTGACTCTTTGTGTTGGTTTCTATGCATTAGATGAAATAGTCACCCCTCCCAGTCTTGAAGGAATGGCCTCATGTGGGAGATGAACCTTGTTGTTCAACCCTTCCCTAGCTTGTGGTTGGCTCTCAAACCTTTGTGATTGTCCAAGCAGCCTATTTTATTTTTAATAGCTCCCAATGTTGAGGATATGCCAAGACCAGTCATTGTCCCAAAGGGGAGGATCTCAGTCAGCACCTAGATTCAGGCTGATTGGAAGTCAGACTCTCAGGCAGTAGCTTTTAAATAATGCAAATATATAGAGTCCTGTGGGACTACAAGTGTAAGCCCTGGTGGCCACTAGAGCCTGGCAATGTAGAGATGTCCTCTGGCAGCAACCACAAAAATCAGGGCACCAGAGGAAGGTATAAATTCCTTTCTGGAAGATACCAGCCAGCTGGAGCGAGGCAGAGAGAGCAGAAACTATGTCCACCAGTCTCCTGCGCCAGCAGGAAACTACGTTCCCTGAGAGCGCCTCTGTAGGAGGTCTCTGTAAGTGCGCCAGACTGGAAGCCTGCCCCTTAGGCCAAAGCTCCTGGACAAGCAAATAGGCCTGTTTCTTAGAACGACTTGGGTGTGCTTCAGTCTGCTGTCTGTGCAGTGCCCTGGGGGTGGCAGTCTGCCAAGAACTGACTCTCTGGTTGTGACAATCCCATGGGACCCAGGAACGCAGAGCCTCCAGAGCCTCCAGAGCCTCCAGAGCCAGGCAATCTAGGGGCATCCCCTGAGTGGCAGCTGCAACAACTGGGTCACCAGAAATAAAAACTGGAGCACCAGATGCATGTGGAAGCTCCCCTGTGGGAGATATTGGCGCTCTGGAGCGTGGCAGAGGGAGAGTGTGAAGACAGCACCCACTGGCTGGGGGGAGGCAGAGGGGGAGTGCAAAGAGGGCACCGGCTGAACAAAGAAAAAAAGAAAAAGAAAGAAGAAAGAGGGAAAGAAAGAAAGAAAAAGAAGAGAAATTAAAAAAAAAAAAGATGGTGCCCACCAGCCTCCATCCCCAGAGAGTATCCCAGCAGGCCCCTGCCCCTCAGACCAATGCTTTAAAATTAGGAAATGAGTTTCTTTCACATAAAGTCTGGCACTTTTCAAAGGGCTGCTCCTGCGCTGGGCCCTAGGGCGGGTGATTCTGCGCACCAGCCCTTTAAGAGCCGTTTCTCAGTTGGCCACGGCCCCTGGGGTCTCATGGGCACAAGCTCTGTTGGTCTTCAGATGTTTTGGGGACTTGTTTCTTCGGTGCTGGTCTTAAAAGTTGGGGTGCCCGATGTGGAGTATAAACCCTTCCCTCCTCAGGGAGAAGCTCCAGCTTTTGAGGTCCCTCCCGGCTGTGGGCCACTGTGCGTAGGGTAAGATTTATGGTAAGATTGTGTCTCAGCCTTTCCTACCCATTTCAGTGTGGTTTCCCATGTCGTAAAGGGGTCATTCTGCCGATTTTTAGGTTTTTTCCCGAGGAAATTGTTCCATATATAGCTGTAGATTCGGTTTATCCATGGGAGGAGGTGAGTTCAGGAACTTCCTACCTCGCCATCAGGAACTGGAACTCCATAATATATATTTTATCTAGACGCTCCATTTGATTCTGTTTTCATATTTTACATTTGCTCCTCATTACATTTACATCTTTGAACATTTATAGTATTTCTATTAGAAGTTTCAAGATCTTTATCTGATAATTCCAGCATCTCTGTCATTTCTGGGTCTTTTTCTAGTGATTTTTCTCCTGATTATGTGTCACATATTCATGCTTCTTCATATGACTAGCAACATTTGATTGGGTGCTGAACAATGTGAATTTTACATTGTAGAGTACTGGATTTTATTGTCTGTCTTTGTAAAGGGTTGGAGTTTGTTCTAATAGATCAGCTCCATCTTTTCAAGTATTATTTTAAAGTGTTGTTAAAGTCCAGAGAAGCCTTTACTCTAAGGCTAATTGAGCGCTACTACTAATGTATGATCTTTTTGAGGTTTATAATGAATATACCATGTATTCAGCATGTCTAGTGGGAGATCTAATGATTCCCAGTATGTCTGAGCTCTGGGAATTGTGGCTTACAGCAATTTGGTAATTGTTTTTTCCCCTGGCAGTTTTTCTCTGTGTGGGTTCATGGGTTTCCGTTGCTGGAGCCGATTGGTATTCAGCCAAAGACTCAAGAACCGGATGCAGATTTCTGGAGCTCTTTCTCTAATCAGCTCTCTCTTCTCCATACTGTGCCTTACAAAATCTTTGTGTTATCCTCACTCTGTTCTATCTCTTCAACTCAGTGAGACCCGTGGGCTCTGTGTGTTTTCCCCGTCCTTTTGTTGTGGTCTGGAAATTGTGTAAGGCAGAAATCTGGGGAGATTTAGCTCTTAACCGTTTTTGTTTCCATTCTCTTCGTCATTATATTCTTGCACTGCCTGTGGTCCATTCCTAAAAGAGTTGTTCTTATATTTTGTTCAGTTTTATAGTTATTTATGACAAGAGGGCAGAAGTAGAAGGCAGGGCCTCAGTTGGATCTTTTTAATGAAGCAAAGAAAAGGTAGAAAAGTAGAGTTTTAAAGCACGATGAATGTTCATGTCTTGCTGTTGACATTACTAAAAGGCTAGAGGAGAAAGACGCCTTAAAAATTCGTGTAGCTGAATGCCTATTTTAAAGATGAAAACTGAGGTGAAGGGAAGCAAAATAACTTGCGCGTTGATGTCTAGTCTGTGACTTTACAGTTTGGGCAGAACCTGGGTCACTTTATTCCTGTTCACTGTTAGACATTGCAGTGTGCTATCTTCTTACCACTTCAACTGAGTAGAGAGTATATCATAGCAATTAGCATTGGTAATGATAAAAATGACACTAACAGTTATACCCATTAAAATTTTAAGTATATTCATATTTCTTCTTGCTCTTGGTTAAACTAAATTTTAGTTTTGATTTTATCTTTCTTGTGCAGTCATTGAATAGCGGTGTTTTACAATATCTGATTTAATTTTACCTAATTGTCCTATTAAATTAGGACATGATGATATATCTATAGAGGTTAATAATTTAAAAAGCCATGAAATTGGAATAATAGACAAAACATTTTTGTTGTATCTTTTGTCTCCTGTATTTCTTATTTACTGCATAATATTGAATAGTTTATATTTCTCTTTCATACATTCCTCATTTACTGCCTTATATTGACTCACATTTTGCTGCATTTAATGATATGCCTCAATGATTTTTTAAATTGTCATTGTTTTAATTTTTTCTTTTCCTCTTTCAAGGATATTTCTTCAATGGGAAAAATGTACTGGCACAAAACATCTCAAGGGCAAGCAGAACAAGGATTACAGATAAGTATTGAGGAAGCTCAAATGGTAATCTTTAATAAAAATCCTCCTTGCTTATATTGAAGTAATAGTCTGCCTCCTGTTGCTTGAATGTTTATCTAGAGTGTTAAAAAAAATCTCCTCTGATTTATTTTAGAGATGTGTTTGACTGTAAGCTCATCTAATTGAATACCACATTGGGAGTCTTGGCTGTTTTAGCTCACTGTTGCTGCTTATCAGAGACTTTCTGAGCTACGGCCTGAAACTCTTTTCAGAAGGGAAAGATTTTAACAATTCCTTTGGTCCAGAGACATTCAGGTCTAGAAGATAGTTGGAGAATTATTAAGAGTTATTAGTTTCTAAGAAAACATCACCTTTTCTTTATTTAGCTAGAAGAATTGTGAAGAGCATTGACAAGGGGAGAATTTTGTAGAGAAACAGGGACAATTGGTGACAGAAGTTTGTTTCAGAAATAAAGCTTCCTTTTCATCCATCATTGGCAAAATACTTATGGGATTCAAAGCAATCTGGAACAGTCCCTGTGAATGTGAAATGTCTCCCTGTGTATAGAAATCTACCTTTACGTAACAAATGATGGCATGATGATCAATTCCTTTACTAAGAATTTGTAAAATGATATCGTTAAATAGCAAGCTCCTTTAGTTCCTGAAAATATACATAAAAACTCAGATCACCCTTCACTTTAAGGATGACATATCATATTTAGAAAACATACAGAATCTTCTCTTTTCACAAAAACCATGGATCTTATGATGTTAGAGTTACCACAAATGGTTGAACTACCGGAGTTTGAGATGCTTCTGGGTTGAGATCATGTCTTTTTCCCCTTTGTATTCTCATCACCTGCTTCAGGACCCAGCATGTATGGCACTAATAGCCACTCAGTAAAGGTGTGTGGATAAATCCACAAAGGTGTTGAAGCCTTACCACATGTGCTTTGGGCTTAAGGCTGACGTCTAGGGTAGCTGCGTCTAGGAGACGCCATTTACAGGTAGACATCAAAACCTCTGACCTCTAAACTTCTGGTAGGTATAGTAAACAAAGATCAGTTAGGTTTAGAAAAATAGAAATCTTCTTTAATAGAATAAACTTGACTTAATGCCATTCACTACATATTCATGTAAAGTATAAGAAAAGATACCATTTTGAGGGAAACTATGATAAATGCCACTTATCAGGTACCTAGCCTAGGCATCATCTTAATTATTTAAAATAATTTTTTTTTTTTT